CAGCAGATAGTGTAATGGTTACATCACTGGACTCCCACGTAATTGATAGTGGTTCATGTCCCGAACTCAGTGGCTTAAAACTCCCGCCAGCCTCGTGTGCATGCATGCCCAAAATCCAAAGAGGAGAATGGAGAAGGGATTGTGGCGTGGTCATCCCCTCTGAGGGGTGATTCCTCACTTCCTGCCTTTCTTTCTCTTTAATGAGCACATGTGCCATGTAGCAAAAATCTCTCTCAAAAAAAAAAAAAAACTTACTATTTGAGATATTGGCCAACTCGGTTGGCCCATATGGGCCACAGTTTCCTCGTCTGCAAAATGGGTTTAAATTCTCATCTCACAGAATCCATTGAGAGACTAAGTGAGTGCTTAGATGGGTGAGAGGAGCTACCATGTAAGTGCTGTTTTTACTTTTGGCATTTATCGATGTGTGAAATGAAGAGCAGCTTTTCATTATTCATGTATTTGCAATGCTGTGATTATCCACAAGGCCCAGAATTTGTACATGTGCTTAATGGCTATTTGTAGTTTTTATGTTGTGAATCACTTGATTGTATCTATTGCCAATTTTTCAGTCTGAGATTGCTTGCCCTTTACGGTTATTGAACTACAGGAACTCTTTGCATTTTGAGGATATTGACTGTGTATCTTTCATACATTTTATTTTTGTCATGTCATATAACCTTCTCATGATTTCTTCATTACCCATGCAAAACACCCTGGAACTCCAGTTCCCTGCCATGATCACCTGACACATCACTAAAGCCTCATTTCCTGCCATCTTTCAAAATGCTCTTTCAATCTTCAGCCCCTCTTGGATGTAGTACCAGGCACAATTAATACCTGTTTTGCCTTCGCAACTACCCTTCCCTATAGCCCACTGTGTGTCTGCAGTCTTAACCCTCATACTCAAAATACCTGATTTTTCCCAACATCCCATATGAGTACCTTAAGAGCAGGGCCTGTGACAGACTAGGTACTCAATTAATGTTTACTGAATGAACAAAAGTGTAAGTTGTTGATTTTCCAAAATTTGGATATAGTCTTTCTTGACCATATGAGAAGCAAACACTTTTCTTCCTTTTTTAAAAATTTAAAATTTTTTTTTGCTATAGAGCATGTGCACTAGCTGGAGAGAGAGAAATCAACCCTTGAGGGGAGGGCCACACCACAATCCCTTCTCCTGTATTCTCCTCTTAGGATTTTGGACATGCATGCACACACACCCAGTGTGTTTTCCAAGCCACTGGGTCCAGGATTCTTACTGTGCAGTCAACCATGTGGGGTTCGACCACCTTGACTTCAGTGTCACCTGCTGGCATGCAATCACTTTCCTAAATATTTGTTACTGCTGATCTTGTTCTCAGGATCAAAGAGAGCAGGAAAAAAGTCTTTTCTCCCATTACATTTTATTTATTTATCTTTATTACTGTCAGAGGGCACATGTACTTATGTGTTTGGAGAGAAGAGAGGCACAATGACAAAGCACTTCCTAATGCGGTGTGGTCACACCACAATCCCATCTACATTTCTCCATCCTGTCAGGATCTGGGGCAACCACAAACATATACTAGCGTGTTTTTGTTTTTGTTTTTGGAGAGACTTTTGCTATACGGCGCATGCGCTTGCCAGAAAGACAGAGACAGACAGAGAGACAGAAAGCGAGAAATCACCTCCCAAGGGGGATGGCCACGCTGCAATCCCTTCTCCTCCATTTTCCTCTCAGGATCTTGGGCACGCACGCACACATGCCCTGCGTGAGTTTAAGCCACTTGGTCTGGGACTAAAACCATGGTTAAATACATGGGAGTCCAGCGACACCGCCATTACGCCATCTGCTGGTCCCGCTAGCATGTTTTTTAAGCCACCAGGTCTGGGATTACAACTACAGTCAGCCATGTGGAATCTGGCTCTCTACACACAGTGCTTAACTACTGTGCCAGGGTACTTTTCATTCTTTAAAGGTGCCTTTTTCTTTAGGTTTTTGCCATAGGGAGCATGCACTTACCAGAGAGAGAAGAGAGAGGGAGAGTCAGCGAGAGGGAAAGTGAGAAATCACCCCCCCATGGGGGATGGCCATGCTTCTCCAGTCTGTTCTTGAGATTTTGGGCATGTGTGCACATGTGTCCAGAGTGATTTTTCAAGCCACCAGGTCTGGGACTCGAACCACAGTTGACCATGTGGGAGTACAGTGTCTTCACCACTATGCTACCTGCTGACCTCAAAGATGCAAGTGGCATGGTGGCTAAGGTGCTGGACTCTCACATGAGTGACAGTGGTTTGAGTCCTGGACCTGGCAGCTTGCTTTCTCACTTTCCCTGTCTCTCTCTGTTCAAATTTTTAAAATAATGATGATAATGAATTAAATTAAATTAAATAATTCTTTAGGGACCAGCAGTTAGCGTAATGGCTGTGTCGCTGGACTCCCATGTAGTCAACTGCAGTTCAGGTCCTGGACCCAGTGGCTTAAAACTCACGCCAGGCACGTGTGTGTGCATGCCCAAGATCTTGAGAGGAGAATGCAGGAGAAGGGATTGTGGCATGGCCATCCCCCCTGGGGGGTGATTTCCTGCTTTCTGTCTCTCTATCTCTCTCCATCTGTCTGGCGAGCACATGTGCCCTGTGGCTAAAACCTCTCAAAAAAAATCTTTAAAAATATATAAAGTTTATTACTTCTGCCAGAGTGGGATTCGAACCAGTCAGCCACACGGGATCTAGCTAATAACACATAGTGGTTAGCCCCACTGTGCTATGGGGCTACCCCTTGAAGTTTATTTTATTTATTTATGTATTTCTAGGTTTTTGCTATAGGTCATGTGCACTTGTGTGTGAGACAGAGAAATCACTCCCCCAGTGGGGATAGCCATGCCATAATCCCTTCTCCATTCTCCTCTTGGGATTTTGGGCACGCACACACACGCGCCTAGCATGATCTTCAAGCTACTGGTCTGGAACTTGAATTGTGCAGTTAGTCCTGTGGGATCCAGCACCGTAAACTCCATGCCACCTGCTGTCCCCTTATTTCTTAATTTTGAGAGAGAGAGAGAGAGATCCTTGATAGGATTTCTTGGCATTCTATAATGGTTCCAATATTGTACAGGGGCACCCTACTCCCTGTGCCACTGTGGCTGATCCTGACTTTTAAGTTTGTTTCTTCTGTAAGCAAGAAAGACAGAGAGAGAACACTCCCAATAGGATCTTGATGCCCTGACCCACTCCAAGCTTCAGCTTTACCCAGACCCATAGTGTGGACTTGTATGAGTGCCCAGAATACTTGGGGAGATCTCCCTAAGCATACCAGGAACCTTTCCATGTGAGTCAGCATCACAGAGCATGGCATTTTACCACTGTACCACTATCTCGCTCCACCTGTTTTTTTAATTGCCAGAGTGTGCGTACATTCATGGTTTTAGGGGTTGGGAGAGAAAGAAAGGACCTCCAGAGGGGCACGGTCACACCACAATCCTTTTTCCCTCCTGTTGGAATTTTGGACACTCAGGCATACTTGCTAGCAATTTTTATTCTCAAGTCTTGGACCCAAGATTCAAACCTGTTGTCTTGGTACGAT